TCTAAAAAGCTCAACTCATTAAGATATAAATTATCTTGCTTGAACTCATAACTTTCTCATCATTTTTACATTTTCTTGTATCATTAATTACAACTAATGTCAATTTTCTTACAAACTACTTCACAATAATTGAAGAAACACAAAAGTTTAATGCAAAGTTTAAGATTTTGTAGTGCTAATCTTATCAAAATAGTACATAAAGTATCCTTCTTTGGCAACAAAACTTCCAAAATAGCTAATCATGTTTTAAGAACTTGTTTAACGAATCTAAATATTGAAAGTTTATAGAAAGTATAGAAAAGTAAAGTAAAATAAAATAAAACAGAGAAAATGAGATAAGATGCATTAGAGTGAAGGCAACTAGCTCTTATACTTTTGTGCAAATATTCACACAATAGTCTCAGGAACAAAAAGGAAAGACCTTGTACTCTTTGCCAAAAATCAAAATAAAATTTAAATAAGTCACATCAACTCAATTAAATTAACTATTAATTACTAAACTAAATAAATAATGCATTGTAATACAGTAACCCTTCAACACTTTCACATCCTATATATAAAATAAAATGGCACCTAAACAATATCATCATTATTCTTAATTTCTTACATTTTCTTATGAGGATGTACATGAAGCCCTCACAAACTTCATGTTTTGTGCATGCATAAGTGCACACATATTCACACAGAAATTAAATAATCAAACAAGATATTAACTTATATTTTTTTTCTGTAAGAACTCAAAGAGTTGCATAATCTGTAGCTTCTTTACCTATAACTAAATGTGATTATATTCATATATTTTTTTTATCTTTGAAATATCATGTGCTTAATTTAAGCATTTTAGTTGCCTTTTCTTTATCAATGTCACTTTCATTGATTATTATCAACAAAATAAGATAAGATAATCTAAATTATGCAAGCAATGAAAGATTGGAAGGACAATATTCAATTGGAGCAAAGTCTTACAAGCTGGATGGTTTATTAAACAAAAATTATAAATTACATGCCAAAAGAAAATTTAAATACAGAAGTATTCAAATACTCCATTTGAATTATTACCTCTTGAATTCTGCTCATGTATATTAGAAGTACGTAGAAATCTTTCTAAAGTTTATTTTTGGTTATCCATTACAATAACCACATGTGTTGTAACTCAAGAACATTCAACCTTTATTCCTCAAACCTAGATTTCAATCAAAAATATATAAAATAATCATAAATATTATCAAACTAGAGAGCAATAGCAAGTGAAAACCCTAGTCGAGCAACCATCATATACAACTTGAAATTTCAACCATTAATGAAATAAAAAGTAGATCAAGAAAGTAAACCCTACCTCAAGCATGAGCGTGAACGCAGATGAAAAATATTTTGAGCAACCTCAAGCACCTGCAAACAAAAGAAAGGAAGAAGCAATGAACCACAATCAAAAGAGAAGACAAAACTAATAAATAAGTTGAGAGTGAGAGTAAAGTGATGCAACAAACCCGAAGCAATAATGAGGCTAAGGCAAGAAGATGAACATGAGTTGAGGCCAACCTCAGTGACAAAGAGACATAAGGCGAAGGGGGTTGAAACACAATAGTAGTGAAGCAAAAAGATGAAGTACACATGAAAACATAAACTCAAATTTTATTTTTCAATTAATAATAATTATTGAGAGACTAATTGATAAATAAAACAAAATAAGGAATAATAATTTATTATTAAATAAATTTATCACTTAAACATGTATCTAAATATTATTGATTGAAATCTTTCTTGTATGGTATCCTCAAAATTTTTAAGAGTTCCACAAAATTTACCTTAAAATTAATGTAGATTAAGCAACTCATCGAAGTGAAGAACTTGCACAAGCCAAACTTAAATTGAAAAAGCTTATGCTCTTTGATAGGCATTAATAAAAATCAAATGACCTTTATTTTACTCATATAAGTTGAGAACAATTGCTTGATTTTTCAATGGACATAAGATAGAAGGCAACTAATTTTCAATGAACAATTGCCTCCTTACCCTCAATTTCTTCCTTTGAAATCCCTCCACAAGTTAGGTTATAGCTCAAATGTAGCTTGGAGTATGGACGGTTGGAAATGGGATTAACTTGGTTGTACATGGTAGGTAAGGATGAAAATAGGCTAGGCTTTACATAAATAGGCTTGGCCTATTTAATAATTTTGAAGCCTGAACCTAACCTCTCTTTTTTTATTAAGCCCAGCCTGACCTTTTTAAAAGCTTAATTTGGCCTATGAGCCTTTTTAACGGTCTACTTAGTATTAAAACATTTAATAGGTTATTAAACTTCCTTATAAATAGGCTATTAAACTATCTAAATAGGTATCTTTTTTAATAGTCATAAGGTTTATATCTAAATAAACTATTAAAAAAAATAATTTAACACATTGAATATATATAATAAAATTACATATTCCTATTTATCACTTTCAAACCACATAAACGTAATTGAAATGGCTTAATGTAAATCAATGTTATGTGTATAGGATATGCAAAAGACTCAAGCAAGTAGAGTTCCCTCTTAGAAGGTAAATAGAGACCTTCTTCAACTCTAACAAAAAGGATTAGACTTTTTAAGTTAAGATTTTATTATTTTAAAATTTAATTAATTTAATATATTATTATATTATAATTTTTATATAAAATTATTTAATATATTATTATAAATTTTAAATAGACTATTTTAATAGGCTTAATAGACTTTTTCTTAAGCTCAAGTCTGACCTATTTAATTAATTAGACTTTTTTAAAAAGCTTAAATTTAACCTATTAATTAAATAATTTAGGTCGAGTTAGACTTTAAAAAAGTTACAATATAGGCCTCTGTAGGACGGTCTGATCTATTTCCATTCCTAATGGTAGGATGAATCACCAAACTGAATACCTAACATAGTACACTAGCACTTAAAATTTAAAAGAAAAAGAAGGGATTGTCTAACAGTAATATATGGGTTAAAATGGTAAATTAATGTCGCTTAGGATAATTAAAAACATTGAAAAATAATAATTAAAAGTCGCATAAATGCAAATTTAATGACATTATGATGTGTAACTTGAATGAATAATTCACTTTAATCTAACGACTACCATTCAAATATTAAGTGTAGTCAAACAAGATTTGTGTAATTTTTGTTGGATAAGAAAATCTTAATAGATAAAAGTTAGATAAGATTCTTTAGGTTCTGTTAGTGTTATTTATCAATAAAAATTAGAATTTTATTTTAGTGATATACAATAACATTAAATGCAAATTATTTATTATAATAAACCCAAATCTTGATTAATAAAATGCGTAAGTATTGTCCAACCTCAATGCCATTTCAAAACTCAAATTCAACGTATCCATATTCATTGAAACTTGTATATTTTGATATTTAAGCTCAACTTTAGGAAATCATCAAATGGTTTTTGTTATGATTTTTTATCTCCGGTTGCTTCTCTAAAATTGTTTTGGGTGTATGTGTTGTAATCTAAGTTTTTATTTTTTTAGCTTTTCTTTAATTTAAATCTCTAGTTAAGTGGCAATTGGAAAAGAAAATAAAATTCTTAAAATTTGAGAAGAATAGAAATAGGCTAGGCTTTCATTAAATAGGTCTAACCTACTTATAAATTTTGAAGTATAAGCTTGACCTATTATCTGTTATAGGTTTTTTATCTAGCCTAAATTTGACCTTTAAAAGTCTGTTTTGCTTTATTAACATTTTTAATAGCTTATTTCATATTGAGACGTTCAAATAAATAAATTATTTTTAAATAAAGAAGATATTTTGTTAATCTAAAAATAAAATAAAAAGAAAAAAAAATAATTATATATAATATAAATAAGTATATACGAAGACAATGATAAAACGAATCAATGATAAATGTAATTGAGATAACAAATCAACTTTATACATATAATGTAAGATCAAGCAACAATATTACAAAAGACTCCACTAAATAAGACTCTCTCTTATAGGGTATATAGTAGGCACACTCTTTGATTCTAACATAAAATATCAGAGTTTCTAATTTAAAATTCAATTTATTTTAAAATTTATTTTATTTAATATAATATTATATTTTTATATAAAATTATTTAATATATTATTATGAATTTTAAATAGGTCATTCTAACAAGTCTAATAGATTTTTTTTAATTTTAAATCTGACCTATTTTATTAATTAAATTTATAAAAAAATATATAAATTAATCTTATTACTTAAATAAGTTAATTCAGACTAAATTTTAAAAAGACTAGACTGTAGGTTCTTTTTGAACATTCTAACCTATTTCTATTCCTACAATTTTATAGTGAAAATAATATTTGATGTGATGCTCACCAGTCTTTACACACTCTATCAGAAAGAAAACATGAGCATGTAACCAAAATTAGTTGAATTTCTTAGATGATGCTATTCTCTTATGTTGTAGATCCCGTACTTTAAATTTGTCATTTATTTGTGTTCCATGGTACAATATAATTTTAATTCCTACCATTTATTTTTAAGCATTACTATGATATGTTGTCATTTAAATTTCTGCTACATACTTGCCTGTTAGGCATTGACTAAAACTTGTCCACCAAAATTGTTTTTAAAAATATATATATAACCAGGTGTTTATAATTGCCAAACTAAATCTAAGTAGAAGAAATTAATTGAACATATCATATCATTCTTAACGAGTCATAACATGACCATTCTTGAAAAGTATCTTAAATCAACATCATATCAAACTTGTAAGTAAAAGCTGTGGGAAGTAGTTAATTAAGTCACTCAGTAAGTTATTAGTTAAGCGAGTAGTTTGTCTTAGAGAAAATTGTCACTCTAATTTTAAATTTCCTATACTATTTATTTTTACAAATCTTTTTACCAAATAAAGAAAGAATTAAATACATTTCATATTTTTCAAATCGCAAATGCATTTACTATTTTCATTTGATATCAATATTAAAAGACTAATAAAATTACATATTAAAAGGATAAGCATTATTGACTGACCCAAAAAAGAATGATAAAAATAAAGGTAAATTTAGTTGCATTTATTTCATATTTTGGTTTCTAAAGGGACTATTGTTTATACATGAAAAGGCTGTATTTATGGAAATCCTTGATAATTCCATGAACTGAACCAACTATGGCAGCCAATGAAACAATGAAGCTCAAGCAGCTTAAAAGTTGGAGCCCACACCATCTCAGTGATAGTTTTCTTATGCGCTTCTGTGCAATGTGCATTTGTATAGGAAAGAAGACAACAAGAGGTCCGAACCCAATTGCTCCAAGGAGGGAAAGAATCTCACTGAAAAATGGCATCGCCATGGCAAGAATTGTGGCTAATATCACAAAAATGGTCCTCCATATTAGCCTAAACAGGTTGAAATTGACCGTTACACTGGCCATCTTGAATGGATATTCCTTGTTTATGAAATCTGAATCTGGCCACACCATGTTAGCACCCATTTCAACTATACGAAAAAATGGTTGACCCATTACCTGATATGCTCCAATCATGTGGATTACGATGCATGCGTTGCCCAAGGCGACCAACCAGAAGGGCTCTGTAAATCCGGTTAAGATGTTCCCAGGTGTGTTATCACCAAAAGCAGCATAGCCAAGGCCACTACATAGCAAGAACACTATTGTCATTGCTGTGACGCCTAGCACGTTAGCCTTTTTCATTTGTTTATTTTCTGGTGGATGTGACTTTAATGTGTCCTAAACAAAGCATGGAATAATCCCATTCAGTGTACAACTATTAAATCCAATTTGATACAGCAATTGCATCTCTTTATTTCCTTTTATTAACTTTTCATGTAGTGAACATAAGTAAATATACTCAGTTCTTGTAAATGTGATTAATTTGGCTTTAACGATTTTTAAAATAGTTGTTAATTTTGACTTTTAAAAACATTAAAAGTTTTCGAAACAATGCTTATTACTATATTTAATCATGTCAGCAATTATTTTAAAGTGATAAATGACGTAATATATTTAGATGCATGTCATGTTTTTAATAAATAGTGAAAGACTATTTTTTAAAAATTTTAGAATTAATGAAGAACAAAACTAATAATTCTTTTGAAAGATTTTAAAATTAAATTTAACCAGATGTATAGGGGGGCATATTTTATTTATAAGTAAATAATGTGTCTTACCATTATATCATAAACAACTGTGGCGTAAGTGCAAGCAAGTGCTATGTTTCCCATTGCAGTGAAAACCCTCAAAACTTTATCTTCTGCAGATAGCTCTGGCCCTACACTGGTTCCTGTTATGCTTGTTGCCGCTCCTTTTCCTGTGCAAAGCCAATATGTCTTTGTAAATTTATATACTATTTTTTGAAAACAAAGAACTACTTCATGATTCAGTGACTCAATGTAAACCCTCTATTTCATATGTTAAAAAACTTAATCATGTCAAATGAATAAATATATTTGCTTATATAGATAATAGAATTTTATTTTATTTTATTTTTACAATTTATACATTTGAAAAAAACAATCTTTAATGTGTCTCATGGTAAGATCTACGAAAGTAAATTTTTATTAAAAGTAACAAGATATTGTAGAAATCAATGCAAAAAGAAATATTGACAATTACAATTTTTAATAAAAATATTTACTATTTTTTATTTCTTATCGCAAGTCCCTAGGCATAAATTAGAAAAGCCATTAAAAGAATACTTATTTCAATCTTTTTAAAAGAATAATTATCATCGTTTTTTTTATCTTAATTGTAAGAAACAAATATTCAAATTTATATGCATTAATTATTTTAAAAAAATTCTACCCTCATGAGATGTAATTAACAAGAAACTTACTCATTAGTTATGTAAGTAATAGTTATTAATTTGACCATTTAATACTACATTGAATTTTTAAATATAGAGTAATTTTATAACATATAACTACTTTTTACTAATCTTAATAAATTAGTTATATATTTCTTATAAAAAAACTCAAAGGAAATTGCTTTCTTAATGTTTTTATTAATACCATTGGTCCTAATTATAAAAAATATATACTCATTTTTGTATGCATTAAATTTAAATCCTCAAATTACTAATCCGAACATATCTTTAATATCAAATTCATTTGATAAAATAACGGGTGATTTTGTACCTGAGACGACGAGGGAGAGACAAAGGCCACTTCCAATGAATACATAACCAAAAGAGGTGATAGCAGCAGCGGTTGAAAGCCATGTAAGCTCGTGGAAGTTTGGGATTTGAGATAAAAATATTTGCAAAATACCAAAACCGATCATGAAGGGATTGTTTGAAAACTTGCATGAACCAGTATGTCCTCCCTGGTGGATGCAAATTGCTTTTCTTATTGCCCTGCCGTATTACAATCATCAACACATAAACCATAAAAGTAAGGGAAAACAAAGGGTTAAATTAATCTGTATATAAGAATTTTTACTTTTTACTCTTTAAAAGCTTGTCTATTCTAACTGATTAAAAACGATGCTCCTTTGATAAGGATCTAAGAAATTATTGAAATTCTAAATATCAAATTTCAAAATTTTACACTATCCAACCCAGCTAATTTAAACTCCATCATCTCATTGCTTATTGTAATGAATACATGAAATAAGCTATAGAAGAAATTATTTTACGTACACCAAGCTTGTGGATGAAGTGATTGTGTAGCCCACTGTGATCCCAGCGAGCTTTGTATATTGAACCAATCCACAAAGCACATGCATTGTTCCACCTATTATCAAATAGCAATATGGAAATAATCAATTGAAATAGGCCAGGAACGAATGCAAATGTATAGCTTGGCGATTCCACTTATCTGAATTGAAAAATTAAAAGTAGTAGATTTTTTTTACGATTTTTAATAAAAACTTACTATACATAGACTCTTGCAAACACATCTGAAAAACCTGATTTTCTAAAACGCAACCCACATTTGGAGAAGACAAATTCATATCTTACCATTGTTGCAACGTGTCCAGTGTCGTTTTGCTTTTTCTTGGGTATATTCATTAATTGTCAACTATATTTATGATCTTTAATCTCACATTAAATACCTATCAGATAACTAATTAGCAGCAATACTTAGACAAGAAAAACTTAGGCACTGCAATAATTGAATTATGTATTAGTATAGAATACCTAAGTACGCCTTCACAGCCTGCATATAAGTGTAATTTCTTTTGCCAGTGACTGGGTCTGGGTATCTGTAACAATCAGCTACAAGACTGTAAGTGAAAATGGAAATAGATGAAAAGGCTAAGATACTGCCTATGCCAGCTATCCATCCAAGTTGGGCCATGGCCCATGCCAGAGCCAACACCCCTGCGCCTACCACCACTGTTATAATGTGTGTGCTTGCTGTCAACACATTCCCTGCAAACAAACACAAGTAATTAACCCAAATAGCTTGATTTTGTATTGGAACTTCTAATTGTTTGTGCCAAGAATGTGTGGCCACTGGCCACGGTATATACTGCAAAACAAGATACAACAACAATAGCCAAACCAAACCAAACCTTATTCCACTGGTACACATCAAAACAAGATACTCATAAGTTTTTACTTTTTCCCTTTTGGTCTTTGCAAGTGTTATAAATTGTGGTCTGTAACCACAACTGCTGCCGCAATATCAAAGATTTTATAGTTTCTGCGAGCACATTGTGAATGTAATTTTTTGCCATATCAAGAATTGTCACATAGCTGGAATGGTAATTTAAAAGGCTGGTCAATGAAAATTTGTGTCACGAATAGTTAACTAGCTAACAAGTTTATCCTCACTAACTTATCATCTTGTAATCAATTTAATACTTCAAAAGACCAAGCTGTATAAATAAAACCCAAATATTATAACTTATTTTTCGACTATACAGTTTTAGCAGCTTTAATTTTCATAATTTGGGAGCCAACAAGATTCCATATTGATGGAGGAGGCAAATTAATGAGAAATTCAGGCCATTGCTGAACTCAAAGTAACTACATCGGAGCACATAGGTATATCTTTTCATAATCACTTTTTCAAGTTTTAATCACATGAAAGAAAAAAATATTTAGAACACGCAATAGTCAATCATAAAAAATTAAAGAAAAGAATCTGAAATTAGAACAAGACGCAAAAGAAAGTAAAGAAAGAGATAGGGAGAGAAAAGGAACCGGTTCTTCTGATTCTGCCATCATCATCGAGTTCAAGTTCCATAAGGGGCTTAGTATTGTCCATTGAGATCCCCTTTGAGTCAAGTATGAACTCTCCCAGAACGATGCACCATAGGACTTCACCGTTTGATTGTTGGAAATGATTACTGTGTCTAAATCAGATAACAATAAGATAGACGCCAAGTACCCAACGCTTTTGAACACGTGAAAATATTTGAGATCTAGACAGAAGCGTTTCCTGAAATTATAGTATTGTTATCCTTTTATGTCTTGTCTATTAATAATATTACGACTTTGTGTTCATTTATATATTCTTTAGTTCAACTTGTTATAGAAAATGATAAATAGTAAATAACGGTGTTAATTAAAGAATGCTCCAATAAGATTCAACAATTTCTTACTGAAAAGATTGAGCGAAGAAAAAGTGACAATGCAGATAGTCATTAAATAATTGTTCTAAGGATATTTAGGAAGACATGTGAGGAGAGGAACAAAAGATATTTATAAAGCACGACACTCACGTGGGAAAGGCCAAGACAGGCTTTTAAAGGTACAATAGTTAATACGAAAAGTTGCATTACAGCTGCACAACAGAGACAATGCTTCACATTTTTATGGGTTTTGGTATTTGGGCCCCGCTGTAGTATTTGGGCTACGGCCTTTAGGCCTTCTTTTATATATTTCTTGATGGAAGTTGCTTTGTGCACTTTTCTTTTTCATACTTCTATCAAAAAATTTTAACTTTTTTTCTCTAAAATATTGTTCGTGTAAAATTTTAATTTTAAAAATTTATTTTCGAAAATGGTTAATAGTTTTGAAAATTATTTTTTCAAAGTGTAAAATCTTAAATTTAAAAAAAAAAATTTCGAAGTATAAGATTCTAATTGTGGAAATTATTTTTCAAAATAGTTAATAATTTTGGAAATTAATTTTTGAAATTGTAAAAATTAAATTTAAAAAATTATTTAAAAAATTGTAGAATCCTAATTTTGAAAATTGGTTAATAAGTCTAAAAGTCAATTTCCGGAAGCATAGAATCCTAACTTTAAACACTATTTTTTAAATTTTAAATTTTAATTTTAATCAAGTAAAATTTTATTTACTAAAATAGAGATTAGAAAAAATTAAGTGTCTTAAGCTTCCTTATTAAACATATTGAACATTCCAAATTTAGATCTCTATTTCACTCAATATCATTCTATAAATCAAGAATATTCTTCTACAAGAAACACTAATATGTTTGGATAAAATAGAAAATGAGTAGAAAAATTCAGTAAAAAATAAGTATACGAAGAATAATATAAAAAATATGTGTTGTTTGCATAGATAAAAAAAAAAGAGAGAAATTATTAAGCAAATTTTACTTTTTATGTTTCAATAAATGAAAAATAAAGTAAAAAATTAATTTATATGAAAAATATTTTATAATAATAAAAAAATTTAATAAAAAATAAAAAAATTAATATAATATTTTTAATCATTTTAAAATAAAAATTATAAAAATCTCACATTTTGCTCACAAAATCTAACGTTTTGTATAAAAAGTTTGTGGTAGTCCCTACAAAAATATAATTTTTCACTCAAAATAAAATATCCAAATATATGAAAACTTTCATTTTTTGCACTTTTCTAAACAGTATTATACCTCTATTTTTAGCTCAAGTCTTATAAAAAGTATTATTATTTTTTATTCGATGTATGATATTTTAATACCTTTTACTCATACTCAAAACAAGACATCAGGTGTGTGAAGCTTGAGATTAGGTTCTTACATTTGAGGTTTGATATTTCATTGTTCTTGTATATTTTTTGTTGAATGAGAAAGTACTAGTGCCTCTTCAAACTCAAATTGAATATATTCATATCCATTAAAACTTCTATATTTTAATAGTCATTTTCATCTCTAGTAAAATCATCAACTATAGCGGTCAACAAATTAATGAAGCTCAAGCAACTTAAAAGTTAGAGTCCAAACCAATTCATTGATACTTTTCTTATTTATTTATGTGTAATATGCATTTGTATAAAAAAAAATAACTATAGACTTGAACCCAATTACTCCAAGGATAGAAATGATCTCACCAAAAAATGGCATTGTCATGGCAAGAATTGTGGCTAATATCACAAAAATGGTGCTCCGTGTTAGTTTGAACAGGTTTCAATTGACTTTCACACTACATATCTTGAATGGATATTCCTTGTTCATGAAATTTGAATCTAATCACCCTATGTTAGCACCTATTTCAACCATACAAAATAATTGTTGTTCCATTACTTGTGAAAAATTGTAGATTTAGCTTTTTCACACATTATATCAAAATAAATAATTGTAAAAATTATGTCAAATTAAGGTATATTATACATATACTTAATTTGTTGGATATTGAGCTCTCATTCTATATAGAGAAAAGATCCAAAATGAGTAAATCCATTTTGTCTCACTTATAAAAGTGGAGATGAGTCTTTAGGATTGACGAAAAGAGAGAGGTCATTAAAGTAAGAGAGCAATTAGAAGAAAAGAGAAAGACATTCTCATACAAACTCAAAACAGTTTCTGTAAATCTATTTATGAAATCTTTTACCATTGGATCAAGCCTAAAATTTGACAACATTTTCATAACGTGTAGTTATTTGTTTTGAATAGTTGAATCATCACAATGAGATATGTGGTACAATTAATAGTGTTCACATAATAACTCTATTTTCTAGATATTTTCATCTTCTTAATTTTCAATTTGTAAGTTTTGTTGCTAAAGTTGATTGACTGATTATAAATATAGTTTGTGCACTTATTTATGATTCTCTTGCATCCTTATTTAATCATAGTGAAGCTTCTTCTTTCTTCTTTTTTGTCTAGACAACTTATGATTTTTACCTCTTATATTGAGAAAGTTTTTCACGTTAAACAATTTTATGTCTGCTTTTTATTTTGTTGTTATTCTTCGTAGATTCTTCCAAGTTAAGGGATTTAATTTTGCTGCTTTATTCATTATTGTATTTATGTTGGTGTCTCGCATTAGAGTGGTATCATAGTTCTTTAGTTTAAGGGCATTGTACTTGCTTGAATGATGGAGGTAAAAACAAATCAAATGGTTATTTAAATAACACTAATAATCACTTATGGAAGAGAAAAATTAAAGATTTGTTATTTGTGAAGAAAATATATACTCTTGTCTTTGTTACTCAGAAGTCAAATTCTATATTTGATGAAGAATGAGACTTTGAACATCAATAAATGTGTGGTTTCATTCGACATTTTGTGGATGATAATGTTTATAATTATATTATGAGTGAGACACATTTCAAGACTTTATGAGAGAAGATTGAATCTTTATATGTCTCTAAGTTTGGAAACAATAAGTTGTATTTGCTAATTTCTATTTTGAGTTTAAAGTACAAGAAAGAGACTTCTATTTCAAATCACTTGAATAAATTTCAAGGACTCTTGGATCAGATGTCAGCATCAAGTTTGATGATGAGATTTTGAGACTATTATTATTGAATTCTTCACCTCAATCTTGAGAAACATTTAATGTCTCTATTACAAACTCAGCCCTTAATGGTGTTGTATGTTTTGAAATGGTAGTGTTTTTAATATGGAGATGAGAACAAAGACATGTGATTCTTCATCTTAATATGAGGTGTTTGTCGCTAAAAATAGCGACATAAGTTAAAAAAGAAAATAAAAATGTGGTAAAGATAAGAGCATAAGTAAGTCCAAAAATAAAAATGTGAAGTTGTCATTACTATCACAAAATTAAGCACATACAGAAGAATTGTTTGCAATGAAAAAAGAAAAATAAAGGCAAGAGAGGTAAGTAAAAGGAGAAGGAGTATGATACTGATGATCATGTCACTATTACTACCAGTATAATTGATGATCTCATTATTCTTCGTGACTTTGAATCAATGAATCTTGCATTAAATGAGAGCATGTAGATAATTGATAGTAATGTTACACTAAAGAAAGAGTTATTTACATTTTACACTTTAAGAGTTTGGAATATTGAAGATAGATAATGAAGATATATCAAAGATGATTGGTATTAGTGATATTTACTTGCAAGCTAAAATGGAGTGCAATTATTATTTAGATAAGTTAAACATACTTCACATATTTGCTCTAAACTGGTGGTTACACTACCTATTTTGAATAGATATTCCTTATTTATATAATTTGAACATGTATTAACACCCATTTTAACCGTACCAAATAATAGTTGGCCCATTACTTGTTAAAAGTAGTAGATTTAGATTTTTCATATGTTAGATCAAAATAATAATTATAAAAACTTGTTTTAAATTAAACTATATTGTACTTAATTTAATATATAAAGTTAAAAGGTGAAATTAGAGTTTTTTATTTAAATATTATAATTTTTAAAATTATTTTCAAAAATAGGGTTAATAAAAAACTTTTTTTTTTGGTCTGGTATTTTTTTGTCATATCAAAGAGTATATCAAACTATTATAGACGATTAGTATTTTTTAATTATTTTTTAAATTAATATTAAAAGTTTCAGTTTGATACTCACTTTATTGATAACACGAGCAAGTATCTTTATTCTTTAGGTAATATTGTTTTAGATTGTGACATGAATTTAATAATATTTAAAATTATAAATATAAAAAATGTTTTAAATTTTATTAAGATTAATTTTTAATTAATTTTATTTATTTAAGATTATAAATATTTTTGCTTTTGTTGCTCTCTCTCAGCATGATTCTGCACCGCCAGATCATGATCGGCCTCCGGCACCGTCAAGGAATCAACGTCCATTCTTCAACTCTAAGATTCAAGCAATTCAGATAAGATTGGAGCTAGAATTCCTGCGAAATCGCATTCCGAACTAACATTTCAATTCAGTTCATGAAATTCCAAACGCCACGCGAATTTAAACCCTAACTCAGGTCCTCCACTCTTAATAAAGTTTGAGACATGTTCAAAATATTTTTTAAATTTATAATCTTAAATATTTTTTAAATTAATAATTTTAAATATTTTAAATTTATGACACGTGTTAAGATTTAAAGCTGTATTGCTCAAAGCTCAAAAAATAAAGATACTCAATTTTACACATGGTGTCATTACTAAAGTGAGTATAGAATTAAACCCTCTGATATAAATTTTAAAAAAAAAATTATCATCCATAAAAGTTCAATACACTGTCTGACATGACAAAAAAAGCACCTGACAAAAAAAAGTTATTTATTCTATTTTCAGATATAGTTTTAAAAACTGTATTATTTAGATAAAAAAAAAGGCCGTGAAATTAAGTAATAATGAAACTTTATTGGGGTCCAGGATTTATGTGAAACATGATTGTAAGAGTCTAATCATCAAATGTATATCATGAATAGCCTACCGATCACCCCAACTTCGCAACCAGGACGTGGATAGCTTGTTCAATCATGCCATCGTTTCAAGAAGTTCCTGAAGTGAACTATTATATAATAAGAGTTTTAGAGCATGTTTGTTTTGATTTTTAAAGAGTTTTTTTCTTTTTAAAAACAAAAAATATACATCTTTAATTTTTAAAAAGAGAAAACTCTAAAAAATCAAAACAAACATACTCTGAGAGTTTTTTTTCCCTAATTTTAAAAACAATTTTTTTCTTTTTAAAAGTAAATAAAATAAAATTTGTTTGTTTAAATAAATTTTATTTTCATTTTCTTCTTAAAAACAGTGTTTTTAAAATTGTTTTAAAGTATAATTTTTAAAAAATAAAAAATAAAATGGAAACAAACAAGCCCTTATGGGTGAGATACATACAAGATAAGGCAGAGACGTCAGACATACAAGGCCTTACTTCGACACTTGTTTAGGGCCAAGAGTAGTGATATATGTTCCAAGAGTAAGGAGTAATTACCAATTAGCAGAGGCTGTTTCTGTAACTTAAACCCATGACCACGATCACAAGGGTGTCTTGCTGCCAAGTTGCCTTCCAGAAATAACATTTAGTCTTGTAGTGCCTTTGAAATGCTAAGTTTTTCAGAGAACCAGAAATATATATTTTATCTACGTTATGAAAAGCACAAATGAAATATTGAAACACTGGAACCACATCCAACATTCAAGGATTACACGTACTGACATAACACCTAATAGAGGCAAATGTATTGGACCTCAATCGCAATTAAAAGTTAAAACTAGCTGATATAGATTAGATATTCAAAATACGGTAAGTTGGTGATATATTAAAATATCACTAATTGATGTTTGCTTCAGATTTAATTACAACCCCTCCCCACTCTCCCACCAAGTTCATATATTTGGCAAAGGAAAGAATCGCATACACTAGATAGTTTCAAAAGTTCCAGTTCCTTGCACAGCTTCACCACTGACACATGGATGGCTCCAGAATCATAATCATAGTATGAACCAACAAGTATAAATCTGCGAGTTACCACAGCCACAGGAAATTAAGTACCCAAACAACCTAGTTTTTATTGAGGGAAAGGAATGCGAATAAAATAACAGGTAACAAGACATACAACTGCAAGATAATAATTACCACCAAATGTCAGGAACTGAAGCTTTGTGCCATCAGGCCAAATGAACATCATCAAACATACCATCGATATATAGGCATATCTAGATCAAAATAAGGAAACATTTCAGCTGCACAATATATTGGAGATTTGAATAAAAATAGCTGCAGAATCAAATACCTGCTTCAGATGCTCAAGAAGATTTTCAGGTGATATACAACTCAATGATGGTCAAGCACAACAGAAGTGTTAATTATCACAACAGCCAAGCTTCCCTTCCACGATAGCCAACTGCTCAACAAAATCAACAGTATTCCGCCATGCATGATGGTAGAAACAATTAAACAAAATTAGTCATATAGAATGACTGGCCAGGAGCCAATGCAGATTTCGGTTGCTGGAACAAAATGTGGTTAGAACAATAAAGTGATGTAATTACCAAATTCAGATAAGCAAGAAATAGAAGGCTATCCTTTGCAACTTCTAGAAAGTGAGCAAAAGCTCACATGGCTCCTCTTTAAAACAATCATATGCTGTAAAAATTGACCCATACACAAGATGATCTTCCAAAAGAAAAAAAATCAGTTTAACTTAAATAATTAAAATTCATCCAAAAATGAATTATATAAATTCAGAGTCTGAGTGCAAAACAAGATTGTCAAATGCGCAATAGACAAATTAAAGAGATAAGAATAATACTAAAAAAAATTGAAATAAAATAATTGCTATCCTCTGTTTCAATAAATTCAACCGCATTTACATTAAATGAAATGAACCCATAAATAAAATAAACGAAAATAAAGTTAAAACTGCAGCAAACAACAAACACCTTTTCTCACTAGCGGGGGAGGCTACTAGACAAAATGACAGCATTGTTCTTTGTGAAAATCCATAGTTAAAACATAATTAACACAAAAAGAAACAAAATAAATATATACATTAATTATATAAGTTCAAAGAGATACATACTGCATCCAGAGTTTACAACTGTTTTCCTTCTTTAAAGTAAAGGTCAAATTCAGACATCCAAGAGGCAAGAAGTAGCTATAAGTCAAAAACAGAAAGAAGAAAAGAGGTCTAAGCACAAGGCTACACAGTTCAAAATGTCCAGTTCCCACTGGAAAATCAAAGTTGCATATTTGCAAAATGCCATCGATAAACTAAAACCCAACCTGTCACATGCTTTCAATTTTCAACGCAGTATTATTCTTCAATCTCTACAATCTTTCTACCAAAAGGCTTATTATCCCAATGGACCAAAAAGATCAAAAGTTGCTCATAAGCATTTTGATACAGTTGAAATACAGTGCACAGGTATTGTATCATATGATAAGTGATGGTGTCCATAAAAAAAGGTTTAGCATACATCAATGCTGAATGGCTTTGTTCAGAGAATTTGTCAGAGGATTTCCAGTTTCCAAAGGAGTAGATGTAAGAGCAGGCATTTTGATGCAAGAAGTCAAAATGATGTGCAGCCAAAATCTCAAAAAGCTTCAGAGTTCATGAAACTGTTCGCCCATAGCATATAGATGCAATATAGAGGTTCTTTGCCCATTTTTCCTGCATAAATAATATATAAAATATAAGCATTTATGACCAGAAATGACAACAGATACAGCAAAATCAGGTGCAGCATTTTACCTTGACATGAGTACCAGGAAAGGCAGAAGTGCGGAGTGTCTCTTGAGTTTCATCAGCTGGTTTTCTTCTCGGAACACTAAGAACAAAAGCAGCTTGGTCCCATGTAGCAGCAGTTGAAGTGATGCGGTAACCATTGTCCCACCTTCGATGAATGCCTTCACTAGGATACAGGAAATCAAGTTCCACAACCTGGAAGAAATTTTGGAAAAAAAATACACCACAAATAGTTTAGGTACAGCTTAAAATTTTAATTGGAAAATATTTCAAAAAATAGTAAAACCTGGTCTGAAAATCCAGCACCACGGGACATAACAATTGCCCATCTACTTCCGGCAGTGGCCATAGCAGTGACGTAAAATCCTTCTCTCCATTTTTTATTGATCCACTTGAATGGAAATGACTCACTGACTTTATAGGATTGTTGCAAGTATTGGGTCCCTGAAACCAACAAACCACCAACAAATGTCAGAAAACAATTTAAACATAATACTGTGGACCAAAATATGAAAACAGCTCCTCAAAACAATCAATCAACTATTGCCACCAAAATACTCAATGCCTGAAGAATAGAGCTTCAAGAATTACCTTTAGACATCACAACCAATGAGCTCCCATTATTAGCTCCTGCTATGGCACTAATGTAATAATTCTTTTCCCACTGTTCCATAATCCATTCCTATAAAAGCAATTATATTTGGTCAAGAAGCATTAAGTTCTAATGCCGGACAGAATAGAGTATGACCAATATAAACATGATATTACTAACATCAAACACATAATGCCACCAATTGCTAACAGTCTAGAAGTAAAGCATAGCTCACTCAACCTTGTGAAGAAAGTGAGGTGAGAGCTCATAAACTTGTGCAGCAAAACCAGTGCCAGCATCCATAATAAGTGCCCAAAGGTTAGAACAGCAAGCTACACTGCTGATAAATAACCCATCCTCATATCCCTTCTCAATGTGTTGGGACAGCCGCATGTCAGCAACATTGTAATGGTACCTACACCAAAACATAAAAACAATAAACTCAACATTTTTACATTGGCTGCAATGACTTATTTATTTAAATTTAAATTCAGAAGAAAACCTTTGCTTCATTGGTCGGTGAGCATTATATACACTAATCCATTGTGTTGCTGGCATTCCCATTCTGACCTTCTTCTTCGGTTGTTCATCATCATCTTCTTCCACAGTCAAACGTCCTCTCTTATGTCCAACCATATATATAAGCTTTACAGAAAAAATCAAGAAAATATCAACAAGACTCATCCCTGATATGTAAAGAATTAACAGTAAACATTAAAGCAATCGAGTATTTATCACCTTCTGTGCACCATCAGTGTTTAGGGGTCTGATGTCTGGATTTGGACCAACAATTCCATCAAACAGTGATATGTACTTTGCGTAATTTGGTTCTTCATCAAACTTCAAATTTACCACATATTCAACAAACTGCCGAAAAGGTGGAGGACAAAAGCAACACAAAGCTTCTGGTGAAGTGCCCATCTTTTTCTTGCAGACAAGAAATCCTTTATTTTCTCCCTGCAACTAACAATCTTATTAGAATGACACATTTTTTATTATTATAACTAATCAAAAAGTGACTATATATGAAGTAAAAATAACCTGGTATCCTTGCCAAGGTAGTCGACCACGAAGAAGGAAGATTAGAGTGTAAGCAAGAGACTCCAAATCATCTCTCCTACTACCTGTTCTACCAAGATGAGCATGCACACTAGCATAACGAACTGTTCCCCTGTGGCAAGAATATGACATGCTACATCAAACAAGATCCTGGATATTGCTAGGAAAGTCTGTAATAAATTAAATGTGCAAATAATTTACCTAAATACATCTGGACGTTGATCATACTCAACATGAAGGCCAGTTGAACTATCCCGCCATCGGGTTGCTGCGAGGTAAAAGAGGGCAGATTGCATAGTCATGTTATGATAAAATATGCAAATCTTCGTGAAAGTATAAGCACTAAAGCTTCAATGATAAGGGGGAATATTTACCTAATCCAAGATCAACCAGAAAAAGCTTTTTCTCATCAGAAGTTCCTGGGGGGCCAAGCAAAAAGTTCTCAGGTTTGACATCACCGTGTACATATCTGAAAAATAGCATCGACATGATCACATTCTTTGCAACAATGAGATATATATTGATAGAATATTAGGATAGAGTTAAAAGTATTATTAATCTGAAGAACTACTTGGCCTAATTATTAGTTTAAATATATGCTAGTGGTTTGTGTCTAACACAAATCGATTACATCACATATCAATCTAATCTCATATTATTCATAGGCTCTTTCTTATTTCACTCCTTTTCCACCAAAATCCTATATTTTTTTAAAAATGTAATACTACCCATTGTGCAGTATAAGTTATTCAAAACTTATATGTACAGATGATACAATTTTTACTTAAAAGGTTACCCTCTAGAGTGCATCTTCTCTAAAATGGAGATAGCCTCAATTGCTATACATGCCACCATTTCTGCAGACATCCTAAAGTCACAAAAGATAAAACAAAGTTACACATGCAAGCAAAATTCACTATAACATAACAAAATAACATATTTCACTAACATTTCAGTCTCAAAGAAACTTACGTGTTTGTGTTGTTATTCCAAACATCCCATAGACTAGGGCCAAGTATATCCATAACCTGTAAAATGCAACACAATGCAATGTTCAGTTACAAAAATATTCATCCATAAACACAACACCCCCATCCCTCTGATAAAAGAAATTTCGTTTTACACATCAACACATACCATAACATAGTAATCACCTTGCCGTCCCTTGTAATGAACTCGTGGAACACCATGACTACCACCTAATGAACTGATAACAACAAAAGAAATTCATGAATTATAAAGTTACAGAAAATCGGAAATGCTTGAACAAGAAAAGCTAGAAGGTCACTCACTTGTAAACCTGCCACTCATAAGGAGGCCCATAATTACACCCCTTACTGCTTCTATGTTCAAACTTCAAAGCTACCTACAATCATTTCATAAACAAAGTGAACAAAGATATCCAAGCCAAACATCGTCTTAAACACCCTAATGCCATACCTCTACCGCTCCGGCACCGGCTCCGACTCGCCGACCAACATAGACTTGTCCAAACCCTCCCTTGCCAAGTTTTCTCTCTATTCTGTATAACGGTGAACCACCTACCTGCACCTGTTACCCAAAATAATAATAATAAAATTAAATTTATATTTCTTAAATAATTACAATCACAAGAACAATACCCTGCCTTATCTTATCCAGTTGGTAAAGTCAGTTCAACACACGATACAATTCAACTCCGTCAAAAGCTAAATTCTCAGAAAATGTAATAAAAATAATTGAATAAAAAAAAGAGAAAAATTACCCTCTCGGGAAGGGGAGTGGTGCTTCCTTCGTCTTCGGCAGCCGGAGCTTTGTCAGCGCTCCGGCCACCGCTGTCGTGTTCGTTATCCATCGCTTTATTTTCCTCTTTGAGGACCCTAAGCGGAAGTGCGTCCTGTTCTTGTCGTTGCTGATGTATTTGGCGGTTGTTATTGATTTGATCACCTGCGATCGCGTTACGATTATTTCTTACGGTGGTTCTTCGGGTTCTCCTCTGGCGGATTGTTCTTACGGGTTGGGTTATCGGAGTCGGGTTTGGGTTTGGGTTTGGGCTTGGGCTTGGGTTTGGGTTTGGGCGCTTTCTGCTTCGGAGTTCAGGCATCTTGAGGGTTGTGCTTTTGTTGTTGTCTTCGCCCCGTGAAGAGGGAGAGCACAGTTGAGGTGCGAAGATTCATGAAGCTTCTGGAATCGTCGCCGGAGAATGCACGATCTGTTCAGGGGAAAGTGGAAAGGTTGGTAGCAATTAACAGAGGAGGATTGAGGAAGGAAATGACAAAGCGATAGATCAAGAGACTATCGACCAAAGAAAATGAATAAATTAAATGAGCAATTTTGGGCAACGCAACAGGAACATGACAAGAAATTAAGATTTGGCAAATATTTCGTTGGTTTAAATAATTATAAGAGGAAAAACAAGGACGTCTTAAAGCTAATATTTTACTTATATATATATATATATATATATATTCAAATAAAAGTTCAATATTTAAGGACCTTGGATGTGAAAGTATCCCATCCACTTAAAATATTACTTGTTTTTGTTTGATAAAAAAATTCAAAGATTTTATTTGACTATTTAATATGAGTATTTTGTTTTAAAATAAATATGCATATAAATTAATTACTAAAATAATATATTAATAAAATTAATTATATATGTATAGTAAGTTTAAATATTTTATTTTATATTATATATATACAAACATATTAAATGAAAAAGTTTTTTTTTATCATATGTGTGTATGTAAAAAAAGATTATGTCAAAATTTTAAAATATATAATATAAAAACTCTGAAGTTAATAAAATAATAAAAATATGCCCATTTAATAATAATAATAATAATAATAAAAGTAATTAAATTCTCAAATAGACTAAAAATAACAGTCATGAATTAAAATCGTTAAAATTTAATATTTTTTCAATTTTTACACATTTCACTTTTTTAATAGTAGATTTTTGTGTTTAGGACAATAAAAAAATAACATTGTTAAAATTAAGAAAAATAGTTTAAAAGTAAATAATTAAAATAAAGATATATTATTTATATTGATGTAATGTATGAGAATTTAAAATAAGTAATTAAAATAATAGCTAAATTAAAATTAATTTATATATAAAAATATTTTTATTTTAATATTGTTAATAGCTTTCTAATTAAACAACACAATTACCTTGTTAATCACAAAAAAAATTAAGAAAATCTTATAATATTTCTTTAACCTAATTTCTCTAATTTTGCAAAGATATATTCAAAATTAGAATAATTTATTAAATATAAAGTTATTTTAACTTATATTAAAATATTTTAGTATATTAGAATTTAAGGACAAAGAAATAAAATGTACTAGCTAAAATATAAGATAAAAATAAACTTATAAAAAAATATTTTATGGCTATAAATTAATTGATAACAAAAATAGTAATAAGTAAAGGTAAAAAAAATTTTAAAAAATTAAACTATGTTTTTACTAATTTCAAAATGAAAGTTAAAAAGTTCTTTTGATAAATAAATATAATTTATTGGATGATAAAAATTAAGTTGATATTCAAACTACAGAGATATAAAGAAATAACACTATAACTTATACTAATTTACCTCAAATACTAGAGTTACATTTAATCTATAATGTTTTGTTAAAATTTTCATTGAGTAATAATTCTTTCATATGCAATATTTTACTCCTCAAGTATTTTTGCATTAGCATTTCTAAACTCAATATTTTAAATGTTTTTAACAATTGTCTATGATATCATGCATTCAAGTAATTTTCTAACTTTTCCCAACTTCTAACTTAATCAAAAAAATAAATTAAAAAAAAATAAAATTAGTATTTATATAAAACGTATCAATTTTATTCTTATTTTTCTATTTCTCATTTTCTTCGCAGATATATATCATTTTATATAAACTATGATACATTAATTTACATAAGAGAGGTAAGCATATCTGTCAAACAATATATATATATATATATATATATATATATATATATATATATATTTGAAAATTTCTTTTTATAAGTTATAAAATTCTAATTTCAACAAAAATTATTAGGTACCAGATTTATGTAAATAATATTTGTAACTAAAATAGAGTTAATAAAATTTGAAATCGAAATTTTTATTGAAAATAAGAATAGTACAACTTCTCTTTATTTACAAAAAAAGAATAATACACTCAAAATGGGATAATTATGTCATAGAAGAATCTTATAGAAGAAATTCTATTTTTTTCTCTTTAGATATTACACTTAAAATGGGATAATTATGTCAAAAGAAAGTACTTGAATTTATAGGTGAAGTTTACAAACTTTGACCTCTAATTCCATCGTAGAAATAAGAAATTTATTTTCCTCTTCTCACCATTTTACAATAACAATAAAATAAGAATTGTATTCTTATCTTTTTCTTTTTTTATTTGACTTTTTTAAGGCATAAGAGTCACATTACTATATTTACAATCTTACACTTAATGTCACTTTTGTTATATTTTCAAAATCTTTCTAGTTCAGCCACTTATGTTTTTGATATCTCATTTATTTTTAATGGCTTTTTTACCTTATGTAAATGTAGCAAGTTCTTATATCTCATTTCTATTTAAGGTCTTTATTTTTTCATGCATTGTTGTTATCCACATAGAAGTATTTAAACTATTTACAACTTCTTAAAAGGTGGACAATTTGTCTTCTTCTACGAGAAGACAATATACATCATGGCTTAACATAATATTATCTAAGAATCGTGATGATATTTGTATCTATCATGTACTATGTTGAATATTTACACCATCAAACTCATATAATTCTTGTTCCATATGCTCAACTTATGCTTCAAAAGAAATATCTCCTCTAGATTTTTTATCTACATGTATAATAATAGTCTCCTTAGCAATATTATAACTTCATTGTTCATTTTACAGTTTATTATCTACAAATATCACATCTCTTCTGATAACTTAGAGACAGTAAAATTTCATAGGCGATACCCCTTAATACTATCAACATATCCTAATAATACATATTTCCTAAATTTTGGATCCAATTTTGTTCTTTCTTGAGAATTGTACATCACATATACAGGACATATAAACACATGTAAATGAGAGTAATATGTTAGTTTTCTTTTCTACATCTTCATCAGTATCTTGAAACCAATCACTATTGATGATGACCAATTTATCATATATTAGAAAGTTTTCAATGCTTCTACCTACAAAGATTGGTATAATATGTTATTTTTAACATAACTTTTGTCCTTTTCTAAGAGAGTTATATTCACCCGCTTTACTACATTATTTTGTTGAGATGTATAAGAAACTGTGAATTGCCTCTTGATACCCTATTTTTTGCAAAATATCATAAACTTATCATCTATATATTCACTTTCATTGTCTGTCTTTAAACACTTAATTTTCTTTTTAGTTTTAAGCTTTATTTGTGTTTTGAACTCCTTTAATACTAGAAATACATATGATTTCTTTTTGATCGGGTACACCCACAGTGTCCTAGAATAATCATTAATAAAAAACACATAATATTTTGTTCCTCCTAAGAATATTTTTTTATTTAATAATTCAATGTCACCATTCTTCTTTTTTATTGTGATAATCAAAGTGCACTAGATATTGTTGTCAATCTTGTATTTCATGATTGATTGACGTGTTGTATGTGAGGTGTCTTCTTCCTATTTCTACAAGTCAAATAGTTGATATATTCATATAATCTAGAACCTTTTTTGTTTTTTCATTTCCTTTCCAAGTTGGGCTTGCTTAACATTTATCATGCTCCAAATTGTGTGTGTAAGGGAAGTAATAGAATAGAATTCGTAATCTGTTAATTTTCATTTTATTTGTATTTTGTTAATTAGTTATAGAGATAGGAATATGATGTAATAATGTGTATATAAATTTCATGTGTAGGCATGAATAAATGTAATGTTGTATATATATATATATTTTTTGCTATTAAATGGGACTGACAGTCCAAGAAAAAATAAAATTACCTAAAGAATTCAGCCTCACAAGAGACTACAAAGAAGTGAGAGCCCTATCAAAAAGGAAAGAAAACACTTCAAGATTAGGACCTAACTTAGCCAACCAATCAGCATTTTAGTTAGTTTCTCTAACCTAAAAATATGTATACACATATTCTGCATTAATTCTTTGAAATAGTACTTTATAATTTTTTTATCAAATTAAAAAAAGACAATAATGAAGTAGAGGCATCATCACGTGGAAGATGTAAAATCTATATAAACCGTATTAACTTGCTAAGGATTGATTAGTTTGTTTTTTTTTTCCTTCTGTATTGCCTTGGCAAGGATATCCAAAGAGATAATAATGGTACAACCCCATACAACTCCTTCCACGGCGATATCAACTTTTCTAGCATCTTTTCAGAATTTTAAAATAAGATAAAGATACCAGTATCATTCGTTTAATAGTTTTACGTATATTTTAAATTTGTATATTGTATAAACACGAGACTGGTTACTTCTAGTAAATATATTTCTTTTTTAACCATTTTATGTTATGTGTATGTTAAAATATGGTATAAAATTATGATATTTAACTTTTTTTTTATAAATTTTAATGAATTAGTTATAAATTTTTGTAAAAAAATAAAAAATATATTGTTTATAGAGCTTTACTCTTACTTATCTTCTTAATAATTTGTTATTATTTTATAAATTATATATATTTAATAATAATTTTTATTATATCCTTTTATGAATCTTTCTAATAACTATTGTTCTATCTCATGAAATTTGTATTAAATCATAAAATATAAGTATTTATTATCTTCAAATATATATAATTATGTTATTTCATAATAACTAAAACAATAATTATTCTAGAGGCGTTCACGGTTTAATTCAATTTTTACTCAAAAAGTTATTAAAAATTATTTAAAAATCAAACTAAACCAAATCATACAATATAAGTTTAATTTGGATTAATTTGTTAATTTTATTTATTATTAAATTATTTTATTTTCAAAATTTAATGTACGATTATGAATTTTAGTTTATTTTTAAATTTAGAATAAAAATAATTTAAAAATTGAAATGAGTTTATTGAAAAAATAAAAAATGTGATTAAAAGGATAAAATTATAAAATAAATAATAAATTATTGATAGAGAAAAAAAAAGATATTCAATTAAAAAAATCAGAATCTAAAATAAATAAAATGATTCATTTATATTTATATGTTAATATTAAATTAAATAAAATTTTAATTTTTATATAAAAGATAATATAAATAATATAAATTTATTATAAATACAGTTAGATTGAATTCAATTTTAATAATTAAAAATTGAATCAAACTACAATATAAAACATAATTCTTTTAGTTTTTTATTTTTTTACATTAATTTAATAGTGTAAAAATGGTTTGGATTGGACAAGTTACCCACTATCATATATGCTGCTTTTTTTCATTTCTTGTCTAGCTTGAATTGTTGTTCATGAGTACTTCTGATTCGTATTACACAATCAGTAGCCATATTTTACTCCATTGCAACTAAGTAGAATACACATTTTCTTTCCTACTTTGCTTTTGTTTTTGTCGAGGCATGTTGGGTTTGCTATGATACCCCTTTCATAATCTAAACACATAGCAAGGCATGTTAGCTACCAAATTATGTTTTTCCAATGCGGAAAACAAAATTATGTGACTACAAAAATTACCTCAGAAAACATCTGCATTCCAAGTGAAATATATTACATCAGTGTAACTCTTATCTTTTCAAATATCTATACACAGAACAAATAAGAATTATCTGTGAGGTAAGCTATCTCACAACGCCATTATGCTGGGCCAAAAGAACTCAACATTCGGCAGCAAAGACCAATAGCATGTTCATACTTCTGCTAACTGTGATGCACATGCTACTCGTTCAGCCGCTCGTCCGTCTTTGCAGACACCGACCTCCAAGTCAACGTTATAGATGGGGTGGAAAACATGAACTATATGAGGTTGACACTGCTAACTACAAATTTTATATAATTCTTTTCTTTTTTTTATGAACTTGTTATAGATGAACTTGTTATAGGAAACTTTTCTGCACCCTTCACCTTCACCTTCACCTTCACCTTCACCTTTATATCTCTCTCCATTCTCTATAGACATTAGTTTTGTCATATACCACTAAATAACCACACAACTTTTCCATTATGTGTATTTTCAATTGGCTATAAATACTGTGTGTTTGCATTTGTTCCTTAACCAAAACCATCCATGGGGCGATTCCTTGCACTTTTACACATGTGTTTGCACTTGTTGCTCTTCCTTTTTGCATCCTTCCATTCCCATTCCTTAGGTCATTCCCATGATAGCTTTACTTTGCTTCAATTCAAGAACTCCTTCACTGCTGATATCACTCATTATTATGATCCTTATTTATCATCTGACTGCCCATGTCCATATCCGAGGACAAAAACATGGAAAAATGGGACAGACTGCTGCTCATGGCTTGGGGTCACGTGTAATCCCTCATCGGGTCACGTGATCGGACTCGATCTCAGCTGCAGTGGGCTTTCTGGTAAAATCGAAGCAAACAGTAGCCTTTTCCGTCTTTCTCATCTCCAATCCCTCAATCTTGCTTTCAATAATCTCTCTCAATCTCCATTGTCATCTCTCTTTGGAGGGCTTACGAGTATGAGTATGAGGCACCTCAACTTGTCTAATTCCAATATTGAAGGTGAAATTCCTATCCAAATCTCACACCTTTCAAAATTATCCTCACTTGATCTCTCTTTCAATGATTTAAAATGGAAAGAAAGGAGTTGGAAGAGGCTGCTCCAGAACGCAACACTCTTAAGGGACCTTGTTTTGGATGGTACAGATATGTCTTTAACTTCAATCAAACCAATCAATCTCGCTTCATCTCTCAGTATCTTGCATCTTTCAGGATGTCAGTTCCGAGGATCAATTCCTCCCTCTTTCTCTAACCTCACCCATCTCACATCCTTGGATCTCTCAGTAAACAACCTTGTTTCAATCCCATCCTCTTTCTCTGACCTCACCCATCTTACTTCCTTGGATCTCTCATGGAACAACCTCAGTGGTTCAATCCCATCCTCTTTCTCTAACCTCACACATCTTACTTCTTTGGATCTCTCATACAACAACCTCAACGGTTCAATCCCTTCCTTTCTCTTTAATCTCACCCCTCTTACTTTCTTGGATCTCTCATGGAACGAACTCAGTGGTTCAATCCCTCCCTCTCTCTCTCTAATCTCACACATCTTACTTCCTTGGATCTCTCATTCAACTACCTCGATGGTTCAATCCCATCCTCTCTCTTTGCCCTTTCACTACTAACTTTTTTGCATCTCAATGATAATAAGCTCAGAGGTCAAATTCCATCTTCATTGTTTGACTTAACTCATCTTTCTCTTTTGGATTGTTCTTCTAATCAATTAGAGGGCCCTCTCCCTACCAAAATAACTGGCCTTTCTAACCTAACTCAATTAGACTTACATAACAACTTACTTAACGAAACAATTCCCTCTTGGTGCTTGTCTTTGCCATCTTTGGTGTCTTTAGATCTATCAACTAATCACTTCACAGGACATATAAGTGCAGTATCATCGTATTTCTTGGAGTATCTAGATTTGTCCAGCAACAAGCTGCATGGAAATATTCCAGAGTCAATTTTCAGTCTTGCAAACCTTACTAACTTAGATTTGTCATTTAACAACTTGAGTGGTCTTGTCTACTTTCCACTCTTCTCCAAGCTTCAAAATCTGAAATCTCTTTCCCTTTCTCAAAATGCTCAACTGTCATTAAACTTTGAATCCAATGTAAATTACAGTTTCCCTGTCCTAAATGAAATCAAGTTATCTTCTTTAGGTTTAACTGAATTTCCTAAACTTACAAGAAAATTGTCAACTTTGAGGCTTCTCGATTTATCCAACAATAAACTTAATGGAAGAGTGCCCAACTATTTATGTGAAATGGATTCATTACAAGATTTGAACATGTCTTGCAACTTTTTGACATCCACGTGCCAATTCTTAGAGAATCAACGGCTCGAATACCTTGATCTTAGTTTCAACTTGCTGGCTGATGACATTTCTTTGTCAGAATGCAATGCAAGGGAACTTGGTATTCTCAACTTGTCCCACAACAAGTTGACTGGCATCATTCCACAATGCCTCACAAACTTATCATCACTTGAAGTTTTGGATCTACAGAGGAACAAACTTTTTGGCACTTTGCCAAGTGCCTTCTCAAAGTCCATTACTCTCCTGAATCTCAATGGCAACAATTTAGAAGGTTTTTTTACCTAAATCTTTGTCCAATTGCACAAGATTGAAGATTTTAGATCTTGGCAACAACCAAATGATGGATACATTTCCCCATTGGCTTGAAGCTCTGCCATATTTGGAAGTACTAGTCTTGCGAGCAAACAAGTTGCACGGTCTCATTTCCAATTTAAAGGCCAAGCATCCGTTTCCAAGTTTAAAAGTTTTTGATATCTCACACAACAACTTCGTAGGTCCAATTCCAAAATCCTACATACAAAAATTTAAAGCTATGAAGAAAGTAGTTCAAAATGAAGCGGATAGCAATCGGCGATACATGGAAATAAGACTACCCTCCTTTTACACTAATCGAGGTGTAACTGGTAACTTCAGCAGTATTTTATTCTATTATTCTGTGACTATAACAATAAAAGGTGTCAGCATTGCACTCGCAAAAGTTCCCAAAATCTTTGTAAGTATTGATTTGTCAAGAAATAAATTCGAAGGGGAAATTCCAAGAGTTATTGGAGAGCTCCATGCACTGAAAGGGCTCAACCTTTCTCATAACAGACTCATTGGCCCTATTCCTCAATGGGAAATTTGACAAACTTGGAATCATTGGATCTCTCCTCAAATATGTTGACTGGTGAAATTCCTACAGAACTAACCAATCTGAACTTTCTTGAAGTCTTGAATCTTTCTCAAAATCGTCTTGGGGGAGAAATACCTAAAGGAAAACAGTTCAATACATTTTCAAATGATTCATATGTAGGAAATTTGGGGTTATGTGGATTTCCAATGTCAATAGACTGCAACAACGACCCAAAACATGGTCCTTCACCTTCACCAACCTTCTGGAATGAACAGAAATTTGGAATTGGTTGGAAACCAGTGGCCATAGGATATGGATGTGGAATGGTATTTGGGATCGCCTTCGGATGTTGTCAATTGTCAATAGGAAAACCTCAATGGCTCGTGAGAATGGTTGGAGATTTGCCTAATAAAAGAGCAAAAAGGAGGACAAGGATGAGGACTCATGAAAGAATGCATTAATCTGGATGTCATGATTAAGCATGTCTTATAATATTGTATTTTCTTTCATTTTAGCTCTACTTTTCTTAAAAAAGAAATCCAAGAGTGAATATCTCCTTCTAACTCTTCTGTATCTAATTCAACTTTACATGATGCATCGCATGTTTTCTAGTTTTATTTGGAAGTGGTGGTTCCTAGTTGTTTCACAAATTATTATCATTACATAATCGAGTGCTTGCTTGACACGTGGATGTTTTTGTGTCTTTTGGATACCCTAGAGACACTAAAGGATCTTTATATTGTGTTTAGAAGTAATAACAAAATTTAGTGTATTGCGTCTTGTATTAAATTTCAATATAAAAATCATGAACGTAATATATATAATTTTTAAAAATTATGTAATATTTAAAAATTATGAGAGTTATTTTTATTTTTAAAAATTTATCCTCCGTGTCTCTAGAGTTAGGATACTAATGTCTCTTTCTTGAAATATACTAGTATCCTTTAAATTTATGTTTAGCCTGTTTTTGTTTTTGTTTTTCTGACAAGAGACTTGTCAAACAGGATACGCGTATTTCAATGTCTCTGAATCAAACGCTGTGAAGAACAAAATATCAAAACTTCATTTACATATACCGTAATTGTCATCCAAAAACCATCCCGAAACATTGCAAGTATGCTAACATTAAGCAAGCATATCTTGAAAGAAATTAGGGAGTAGGGGGTTTCAATTGGAGAGCGATTTTATCCAAGAACATTAACACATGCTATGCCGCAAATGAAATTGTGTTTGGGTACGCATAAAAGTTTTTGTAATGCCGCATAACAACACATGTATGTTTGTGTATATACACACCCTAGAAAATATAGTAAATTGGAGATATAGAACGAAAACAATCAATCAGAGGTAATCAAAGAGATGATGTATAATGTATAATCTGCACACTGTCACTGTCCTGTTGTAAAAGAAAAATAAAACAAAGGAATATTTGTTATTATTATCTTGTTGGCATCCTTATACAATTCCTTATTTTAGCCCTTCAAATCACTTTCCCCTCTTTCAAAATCCTCTATGCCATGTTTAGATGAAATAAAAAATAGTACATTGTATATATATATATTACACAAAACTAACAAATTTTAAATTAGAGTTAAATAAATATTTTTACTTTTCACATCTTGTTTTAAAAGAGTCAAATCTCTTTTGCAAATATTATTTCTTAGAATTAGGGCTCATTTGCTTAAGCTTTTAAAATGTTATCTAGGAAGTATTAAAAGAATAATTTATTTAAGAAAAACTATTTTTTGTTGCAATATAAAAAGTGTTCCTCCCGAGCAACAACTGTCTTCAAACCTCTGATCAGGCGTCCTTCTGATGATTGGCGGATAGGGAGAATACCTGCAAAAGGCACTCCGATGATAAAGTCAGGATTCGGTTCTGAGTAATAAATGTTATTTAATGATGGGAAGTCAACCCCTTACCTGTATTTCTTACCTTCTTTTTATAGACATTCTATTGGGCTAATGGGCCTGAGTTAGCTTTTATACTGTGGCCCATAGTATTTTGACTATTATCTTTAATTAGATTATTTACCTTTTAATCCCGACGAGGGGTACCCGGTCTAGTATGCCGAGTAGGTATTCGGTTTCTTTTTCCTGAGGGTGGAACCGAGTTGATTCCTTTCCCAGTACACTAGCCCCACAAGCCCGGCGAGTTGCGAAGCAAGGGCTTTTAAATAGAAATGGTAATATTAGAATAGGTATTCGGTTGGAGTGTTTCTTACTGTACCGAGAGGGTCATTTGGTTAGGGTGAATTACAATGCATCGTGGGGGGTGTCCGGTCTCGAGTGATGGTAACATTTGATGTATTAAGTTTTACACTGAGGAGTAATCGGTTTAGTAACAACACGATATAGGCCGAGATTATAATATAAATAATAAATTTGCGAAGGAATATTCTAGAATGTTGGTTTTGAGGATTTGTCAGAGAGTATGTGAAACGAAAGGGTGCTCCATCTCCTCCGTTGATCTGGAAGGGATCTGATGGTTCGAAACGAAAGGGCGTCTTTTCATTTGCCCAACATCAGTCCCTTATAAATATGTGGTGGTCCCTGCATCCCTTTCTTACTCTTTTGCTCTGTGCCGAACCCTGCATACCTTTGCTCCAAATCGACGAGTGTTCAGAGATCTTAGGCTTTTCTTCCCTACCGACTGCTCGTAAGGTGCGTTTCATTTTTTCTTTACTTCTTTTCTATCATGGCTGATTGTATTGAGTGGGAGGATTCCCTGTCGAATGCCTCGGGGCCGAGTACCATTGAGGTCGATATTATGAATGAAACCGAGGGGAGTGGCGAAGTTTCGTCTATTTCAAATCGGAGGGTTGAAGAGGCACAAGTCGACGAATGTAGTAGCGAAACCGAGACGTCATCGTCAAGTGATACTGACGCTCCTGGACCCCTTCCTAGTACTAGTCCTCCTCGGGAAAGGCAGGTGTTTCCTCCTTGTACGGTGCCTGGTTATGAGTGGGTACATGGTGAGGTGGCCGCATACTTTTCTCGTTTCAAAAGAAATAAAAGTCTTCAATTCTTTGTAGATAATTGTGATATTTCTTTATGAGAGGCTTGTGACCCGTATCCTATACACCTTGACCCCTGTAAAGGGGACGAGGGCGAGAACCCAGATTTTGTTTTCCTGGGAGGTGTCGGAATGGCCGACACCTTCTTTATGTATGAGTACATGTTTAGGGAATTAGGTATCAGGCTACCCTTTGACGATTTCCAAATGGGGGTTTTGAGGGTATTGAATGTAGCACCAACACAACTACACCCGAACGGGTGGGCGGCAATTCAAGCCTTTAGGATACTTTGCAAGTTCCATTATATAGAGCCTAGTGTAGGTCTTTTTCTTCATTTTTTTTGTACACGTCCATCTGACCTGGCGAGGTGGGTATCTCTAATAAGGCAACCCGAGTTGCCCTTATTTAAGCCATATGCTTCGTCTTTTAAGAGTTTCAAGACCGGTTTCTTCAAGGTAACCGTGGACCCTGTAGGTAAAAATTATTTTTTTGATAACGAGGACAATCCTCTATTTCCTTTTCACTGGACTCGGGTGCCGCACCGATACGACACATTCCCTGAGGATATGTTATCGGCTAGGGAGCTGTCGGATTTGCAATTCTTGAAGTCCCTTCCCCAGGACATTCCTGCCCAACATGTAGTCCTCGTCCTCAAGTCTCCGCGTCCTCGGTGGGATATAGAGGGTATGTGTTATTTCGTTTCTGACTTGTATTTGGAATTGAGCTATATTGATTTAACTTGCTATTGTTAATGCAGGTTTAATGGCTCAGCGAGGTGTGGATGTGCCGACCTTCCGGCGCACTCTGAAGCAGAGAATGCCAGAGGGAACGCCCGTTGAGGAGCATCGCCATCCTCAAATTGACCAACTTCCCGAGGTGCCAGAACCTCACCCTCCTCCCCAAGATGTTGTTCCAGCCGAAGGCCCTTCGAAGAAACGTAAGGACAAGGGCAAAGGCAAGGAGCTCGAAAGGGAAAGGAAGAGAAGGCATGCCCATTCGGGTGAGCCTGGCGGCGTTCAAGGGGCTCAGAATCAAACCCGAGTGGTAGCTGCTGGGGAGGGAAGCAGTTCTTCCCCTGTAGTTCCCTTGGACATGCTGGCCGAGGGCTTCCTGGTGAACGGGACACATGCTGGTCGGCTCGCTGCTCCAAACCTGTTATTTGATGCAGGGAAAGAACTGGTCGGTGGTCTGGACTACGAATCACTATGGCGCTACTACGCAGAACTTCATGTACGATCCACCGCAATGCTCCGAAGGCTAGTTGTGGATCCTATTATTGAAGTTAAGAAGTTAAAGACTGCCTATTCGACTTCTGAAGAGGCTTTGGCCGAGAGTAGAGAGATTCAAGCCAGTCTGGACGAGACCGTTCAATCCCTGCAGGGTCAGGTTAACCAATACAAAGAGCACTTTCAAATAATGGAAGACCGAGTACACGTAGCCGAGGAGGTGGGGAGGGTCAGGGGGGAGGAGATGGAGGCGTTAAAGGCAAAGTCCTGTCAAATAGAGGAGGCTTTACGGGCCAAGTCTGCCGAGATGGAAGAAGCCTTGGCGTTGGAGAGGCAAAAGGCTGAAACCGAGATGAGAAACTTTGCCGAGAAGTGTTCTCAGCAAGTATCCTACGAACATGAAGCCGGTTTTAACCATGCTATTCGCCAGTGTCATGGGTTCTGCCAAGTACCGGCAGACTTTCATTTTGACATTACAAAGGACTTTTTTGGCGGGAGGTTCATTCCTTACACCGAGGTTGAGGACGATGTAGAACCCGACGCCGAAGTGCCGAGACGCCTCCCTGAGGCAGACGCTCCCGAGGCAGCGGAAAGGATAGAAAGTTAAATTATTCGCCTTGTGTATTCATGGGTCATTAGTGGTCAAATTTTGTAACTAGTTATTTTGAAATAGAATTTTATCCTTCTTTCTCATGCTTTGTATCTTGTCATCATACACAACTTGCACTAATATAGGATATGCTTAATATACTTATCCTTAGCCAAATAACTTGCACTAACATACGATACACTTAATACACTCATCCTTAGCCGAATAGGGGACAAGGGAGATGTTTTCGTCTTAAGAATTCAGCCTTAACCAAATGATAACTAAGAGGAACTCGTAATTCGTTAATTTTGACCGAGTGGGAGTATTCGGGATTGAGATATTTCGACCTTTAGCCAAGTGACGCTTGGAAGAAAAATGATTAATTCATCCTTGACCGAGTAGGGGTACTCGGAAGGGAGATAAAATTGTTTCATCCTTGACCGAGTTGGGGTACTCGGGAGGGAAATAATTCAACCTTGGCCGAGTGGAACTTGAGAGGAAAAAATATTGTTTCATCTTTGACCGAGTGGGGGTACTTGGTAGGGAAATGTTTCAACCTTGGCCAAGTGAAGCTTGGGAGGGAAATATAATTGTTTCATCCTTGACCGAGTGGGGGTACTCGGGAGGGAA